AAAAAAAAATTAGTAAATAGTATTTGTTAATTATATTTATTTTTTGATTTACTTACTTTCTTTTTTGAACAACTGGTTGCAAAAAGTTTAATACTGCTGCATAAGAATATTTTTTTTTTTTACTTCTCGAAGCTTCAGAACCACTTGCCACATTCCTAGTTTCATTTACTTCTCTTGTATAGTTGTCTCGTATATTCTTCCATTTTTTTTTTAAATCTTCAGCTGAATAATAATAAAATGATTTCAGTGTAATTTATATTGAAGTTATTGAATTCATATCATAATAATTATTATGTTTCAGATTTTTGTCAGTAGGTCTTAACTTTGTGGCACTAAAACAAGAATTTTCTTTGGGTAGAACTACAGTTAGTGATATTGTAAGAGAGACTTGTGACGTTATTTRGACAATCCTTCAACCCACTGAAATGCCAGAGCCAAATGGAGAACAGTGGATTAGTATTTCTAATAAGTTTCATGAACGCACCCAGTTTCCAAACTGTGTAGGTGCAGTCGACGGGAAGCATATAAGATGTGTAAATCCCACAAATTCTGGGTCAATTTATTATAATTACAAAAAATATTTTTCAATTATACTAATGGCAGTGGTAGACTCGGAGTACTGTTTTATTCATATAGATGTTGGGGCATACGGAAGAGAAGGGGATTCTACTGTGTTTAAAGAATGCCCTTTTGGCAAAAAGTTATACTCAGACCAACTTGGCCTACCAGCTCCTAAGCCTCTGCCTAATACACAAGACAAACCTCAGCCTTTTGTTGTTATTGGAGATGAAGCATTTGGCCTCCATAAGAATCTTCTAAGACCTTTTCCTGGGCGTGGACTTGATCAAAGGAAAAGAATTTTTAACTACAGATTGTCGAGGGCTAGAAGATATGTAGAATGTGCATTTGGCATATTGGGGAATAAGTGGAGAGTTCTCCATACACCAATACAAGTTGGCCCAGATTTTACTGACAAAATTGTGAAAGCATGTTGTGTCCTCCACAACTATGTTAGAAGCCGAGATGGGTTTAATTTTGAACATACGCTGAGCAATACGTTGGAGGAAATAGAGTTTAATAGAAGGGGAACTGGTGCACGTACTCAAGGAATTGATGTTCGAGATGAATTTGCAGATTATTTTATGGAAGCTGGATCTGTA